TGCGTTAGTGGGACCGGTATTACCGATGGAATAACGCGCCGAACATAGCATCGAAACCGACATCATGGGGAACTTGAAACGGTTTTCAACGGGAACACACGGACTAACCGACCTGATCGCAACGGACGTGGCGTTCGCGTTTGGGTCCGGAGGGTGCATCATGGCGTTGCCAGGCCAGTGCTTTTGCCTCAGCACGTGGGTGCCGGCGGCCCGCTTGGCGTAGCTCCACACGTAGGCATTGCTATCCTACTCGTGGCTGACGGACAGAAAACGGCACATCGAACGGCATTCGAATCGTTCAGGGATTGGAATCGTTAACGGATCGGATACAGCAGCCCCAAATGTTGCGGTTGGATATGGCCATGTCGCTGTTTATCGCAGCGTGTTCATCGAAAGGACAGCTAGACACATGAAGAGGGCGAGGGTGTCAGATACCGTGGGCATGTTAACACAGACGCGTAGCTGTATCCCTGGCACATGCTGTCGGTGTGATCAACACCACACTGAAGTTTTGGGGAACATAAGGATGGTGACACAGAGAGAGAGAGAGAGGTCGCCATCGCACCCCTGGCAGCAAAATCAAAAACGATGACGACGACTACAACAACAGCAACAATAGCATACCAGGTGATGATATTGCACCAGTCTCTAGCCCGGGTCTCGCTGGCGGCGAAGGACAACACCGGCCGGAGTTTAAAGTCGTCCTGTGTCGTCACCCGGTGTCGGGTAGCCACCTGCAGCCATGTAAGGATGTTGTGAAAAAACACGGTTAGCTGATTTGGCGTTGTGGATCGTTGTTGGTGATGGTGCTGTTCATGCTGTTGATCGTATTAGGTGACGTGCTAATGGCTAGACCCCATCCGTCGCTCGCTCGCACGTATGACGACTCCTGACTCACCGGACTTGGACGCGAGGCTGTAAGGCAAAAATCTGGATATCGTACATTCGCGATATCGACAAAAAGGCCTTACGGGAAGTACACTGACACCGGGTTAAGCAATAACCAAAAAAAAAAAAACATGTGAGGGTTGGAAACTTCATTCGCGCAACTTGGCGAGCAGCTCCTGGGGAACTATTTGACAATGAGCAATATATATACAAACTAAACACTTTGGGGGAGGGGAAAAATTCGCATGTACAACAAACCTTGACGAGCGGCTTCTGGGAAAGTTCCTGGCTCAGGCAATCCCTGACGGTGTGGAAGACCCTGAAAGAACGGTCGGTGCCAGCCGACAGGACACAAAGCGCCGTCGCGTCTGCAGACGATACGGAGGGGACGACGAAAAAAAAATCAAGAAGGGGGTGTACTCGTAGCCGTGCATTTCATCATTTCAGCATTTGTGCTGCATCCAGCTGCATCATTTGCTGCGCCGTTGCCGTGGCGGTGCACAGGTTGCTGTTGCAGGGCGTACGAGGGGAAAGTGGAGTGCTGCTTGAAGAACCCGCTTGCGCACTCCTCCCAGGGGCTTACCTGCCTGGAGAACCCGCCGAAGAGGTGAGTTGCCGTATCGTTAGACCATTGACCTCGCATTTCTACAAAGCCGGGATGGAGCACGCCGGGTCCCCACCGAACCAGGATCTAACATCTCCCAGCGCGAAGCACCGTGAGGTATTCGTAGAGTCGCAAAAGAGAGAGTATGGGGGATACCCACTTGCTACGATGTCTCTAAGGTTTTAGTTTTGGGCAGGACAATGCACTGACTTGCTTTACATGTTGTGGTTTTGGGCAGACGTTATATAACCATTCTTCAATCCGCTGGTTTATGGTTGGACTTAAACATAGGTTGCATCAACGTCTACAAGACGAAAACACCACACAGCTATTCAGACAACCTATACTGTCTCGCGATATCGACGGCGACAGCGACCATACACCATGCCTGAACCAAGTCGACACATGCGCGAGTGCTGGCTTGTGTCTGTCGGTTATAGGTGGCAAGGTGGAAGAGAATCCACGTCTAGAGAAAGGCACCTTAGTGCCTGCTGGTTTCAAGTACCAATGTAGGAAGATAACTATAAAGCTATCTACCTGTAGAGAGAGCAACAGCTGTCTTGTACCTGGTGGCTTCAAGTACCCATGTAGGAAGAGAACAGCAAACCCTATCTACCTGCAGAGAGAGGTAACAGCTGCTGTGTACCTGGTGTCTTGAAGTACCAATGTAGGAAGAGAAGCTATCTACCTGTAGGGAGAGGCAACAGCTGTCGTGTACCTGGTGGCTTGAAGAACCAACATAGGAAGAGGGCAGTCTACCTACCATCTGAAGCGAGAGGCAACTGAGAAACCGCAAAAAAATCCCGCATGTGGACTTACCCGCCCCCTCCCCATGGTGGCGAGAGTAGTGTTGCCATGGTACCGGACCGCGCGAGGGGGCGCGCGGTGTCCTTCCCTACTCCTCAGGAGCCTCGCCGTCCCGTCAGGACAGTCGAAAACCCACATCTTGATGTAGTTGTCCGTCCCGCTGCTTACCAGCACCGGCTCCCTGTGGAGAGCAGGGCGCGAGACCGCAGCGTAAGCGGGGCGCACGCGAAGGGTATTAGCACCACGCCGGGGAAAACAAGGTCCAGACAAAAACAAACAAACGCACGGTATGTCAGCCATACGTGGAGAAACCTCAGACAGCAGGGGCCACGCGGAGGATTATCACACCGTTCCGGGACGAACAAGGTCGACAGCAGGTTATGACCGTCAGTTCCACGCCGTGAAACTACCGCCCGGTTGGGAGGTCCGGTAAAATCGCCGGAATACCGCCAAAGTACGCGGAACCGCCAACGCTACCGTAGAATAGCGTAGCCGCCCTGCCTCTCTCTGCCTACAGCCCGTCACCGACATCAACACTTGAAAGACACCGAAGGATAGCAAGACGCACGAGTCGACGCCTCGTTTCCGAAAGGTCGACTGCTCCACAGTAGATCGAGAGGAAGTGGCGAAACACCGTGGCGTAGGAACCAACCGTCTCGTCCACAGCTTTCCGAAATGTTTCGCTGTGATAGAGACACCCTCTTCGTCGTTGGGATATGAAGCTTTCAAAATTTTGTCTCGGGGGGGCTGCTGAGTTGTGTCACCTGCGGTAGGTTGGAAGCGCGGCTGGTACTAAAAACAACATACCTGGTACTGGTACCAACTATTCTCACCCCAGAAGTAGTAGGTAGAAATAAAACCTATTTAGGGTTGACCACGGAAGGCGTCCGCGTCAGTTGGACCGGCACGGATATTACCGTGGAAGGTTCTATGCTGAAACCGGAACGATTTTGAATGTGAAGACAACAACAACAACTTTAATGTGAAGACAAGAACAACAACAAGAACAACAACAACAAGAGCAAGAGCAAGAACAACAAGAACAAGAACAAGAACAAGAACAAGAACAAGAACAAGAACAAGAACAACACGAAAAACATACCGGGAGCCCGACATCCCTGCCCTTAATACCACTACTCCCAAACGTGTCTCCATGCCCACCTGGGCAAGAACTGCAGCTTGGCAATGCCCCCCTCGTGGGCCCCCATCGTGTGGTGCAGGCGCCGCTCCTTGAGGTCCCACAGGCACACGCGCCCGTCCCCCCCGCCCGAACCCAGCAGCGGCAGTTCGGCCGCCGCGGCGTCCGTTCTGAAGGACAGGCTGGTGACGCCTACCTCCTGCTTGAAGCTGATCAGTAGCTGATCGGTCCTGAGGTTGAGCACCTGCCCGACGGTTATTGTTTCCAACGGGACGGTGGCGGCGGAATAGCAAGACGCGGTGGTGCGCGGGAGGCAGAGAAAAATCGGTTGCAAGCATGGAGAACCTTGGTGCCCCGTGGTTATTTGCCCCGCGGTTATTTCCCACGGAACAGTGACGGCGGCAATGTACGCGGGAAGAACCGAAAGGAGAATATGTCGGTGGTGAGCAAGGAGCACCTTTATTGCCCCGCGGTTATTTGGTCCGCGGTTATTTCCCACGGAACGGTGGCGGCGGCAATGTGTGCGGGAAGCAGCGAAAAGAGAAGGTATCGGGCAAGGGAGGAAGCCACGGAAACGGTTGAGGATGAGCAGAGTAGCTGCCCAGGATAAAAAGACAGAAAAGGGGCGTCGGCTGTTGCATACAGCGGACGGACGCCAAAAGTGTACTGCTGCTGGGAGGATACTAAATCGTCTACACCCTGATCGCGGGGTCAAGCCGAACGTACGTTCGCCGCCCCCAGACCAGAGGGGGACACCCTGAATAATTAACCGCGACTGGGGCCCGTATACTAATTACAACAGCAAGAGAACCAACACTAGGCACCTCCCCTGGCGTAGTTGCAACATACCAAGCATTGGACATAGATGAAAAATGCTTTGCAAGAGCCTGCGCCGCAGGTCCAAGCCACAACCACCACCGCTTTGGAATTGGAATTGGCTCGCACGCGGCCAAACGCACAGGCGACGAGAGAAAGCACGAACAACGCCGCACACCGAAACCAACACCGCTGTGGAATCGGTCCGCGCGCGGAGAAGTACTTAGGGGTTGAGAGCAAAACACTTTCGGTAGTGGCCTCCGGTATTGCGCCGATGCGATCCGACCGATTTCACCGTCATTATTCAAGAGTATGAAGCAATTGGATACCCCACAGCAGTGTACAAGGAAACCGGCAATGTTCCACCGGCACCACCGTCATTGTGCGTGTGATGGCAGCGGGGTGCAACTGTTTTTTAAATCATTCCGATCTTGGTTTTCTATCGCACCCCCGTGCCATAACACCGATGGGTGCCACAACACCGATACCGGTGCAGAAATCCAACTCATGTACCTCTAGATTTCCAACGCACCCCCGGTGCGATGACATCGATAGGTGCGATACCCAAGAAACGAACAGGCGGTTCCTGGGACATGTAGCTTGCGTAGGCGGTACCATGCAACCAGCCCGGAGTGGTGATCAGTGACGAGGTCGAATCCGCGTTTGGGGTGGCGTGTGCCAAAGAGAACAGAAGCTGTGGTTCCCTGCTCGGGAAGGTATACGGCACGGTATCGTTTTTCTTCCAGCCTCTTCGCTGGTGGCAAGCCCCTCCATTGTTAGCTGGTGGCTTCCCTCTGCCTTTTTCTGTCTCAAGGGGCATGGTACCGACAGAATTGAAGTACCGTTTACGACCCCCTCCTTGTTCGGGTGGTTGGAGGTGCTGTGTGCTTGGTTGAGTGAGGGAGTGAGGGAGTGAGGGAGTGAGTGCATTAAATCATGCCGTTCTTGATGCTTTTGCGCACCCCGGTGCTGCAACACCGATGGCTGCGAAATCACCCATGGGTGCCATCGCACGTACAATTACGGTACTCCGGGACCACACTGTGCAACGCGCTGCTGCGCGGTCATCGACGCGGCTCACCTGTACACGGCCATCACTGAGGCCAACGGCTGCCACGTCCAGGGCGGGGGACGGCTCGATACAGCTCACCGCCGCACCCTTAGGGTCCAAGCTTTGGAAGGAGTGCACCCGCCTACGCAGGCGTTTCGAAAAGGAAAAGCGCGCGCATCGTCCACGTCGAATGAAGAGAAAATATGGGCACATTTCCACGCAAATATGGGCACATTTCCACGCAAATATGGGCACATTTCTACGAACAAATGGGCACGTTTCCACGATAACCGGATAGGGGACCATTTCCTCCTCTCGAGGTTGACGGTTTTTCCGTGGGATGTACCGTGGTGGGATACAGTACACATGTGAACAAGGTTGCGAGCCTCTTTTCGCACCCACCTCCCCTGTACTACATTGCTGTTGTCACATTAGAAGCCGTGCCGTATTCCGCTCAGTTAGTGTCTTCTAAAATCCGTGCTGGTCCAATTGGCCCGGACGCCTTCCGTGCTCACAGGCCAGCTACAACTCAAAGAGGGATGGTTCTCAACGCATGGTAAGAGTGTCTACAACATGTAGAGTGGTGGGGCGTCATCCCAGCCGTCAACATAAATACTTGCTGTTAATGTAGTACCCCACGAAGATGAACAGGCCAACGCTCTTCCGGAAAGCTCTTGACGAACGCCGCGAGTTTTCCGCACCGCCACAGTTTTTACTGCAGAGTGACAGAGCTTCGAAAATCGGTCCAGGGGGAGTGTTATCTTGCGTATGCGATCATCACCTGCCCGCCCTAACGTTCCACAGCTGCAAGGCTCCTCCCTCCGAGCCCACCACCACCTTGTTCAGGTACGTCGGCGGGTGCGCCAGCGCTGTCGGCACGAAGCCCCCTTCCAAGGCCGCGTCGCAGGTCGGTTTACCCACGACACCCTCCCCTCCCCCCTGGGGACCCCCGCGGGGCCCCTTGCTCTTGCCGCCGGGGCGGTGCTTGAGATCCCAAGCCTTGAGGCGGCCCTCCTCGCAAAGAGACACGAGCGTGTTGCCGACGCACAGCAGGAAGCGAACCTGGGCGTGATGCATTAGCGTTAGGGCCAGGGGAAGAGGAGGGCATGGAGCGCATGTTTCTCCTCGAGACATGCGTGCTTGTTGGTGATGGGGCACGGGGGAGGGGGAGTTGTACTAGTGTACACGCATGCCGTAGTCGGTAGACCATACACAGACCTGGCATCCTTGCATTGCCGAGACGGAGCGATATGCCGGGTTTTCGTCGACTCAGGCTACTCTCCACAAGGGTGGACCAGAAGCCGGGCACCACTCCCCCTTGCGTTTGCTGATTTTCCCAAGTTTGCTGATTTTCGTCATCCCCTGGCCGACAAAGCCGGATTCATCGATAGTTCGGTCTCTGGGGAACACCGTCTGCCGAAGTTACAACACAAGCTTACCCCACCGCCATCACCACGATATAGCCGCCAGGAAATCATGGCCAAACGCGACTCCTCAGATACCATGCGCCGCACACACTGGTGTCGAACGCACAAGGCTCCCCGCGGGTGTGTTGGAGGTCTATCTCTGCTACCACTTTCACCCCCTCACCTTCCCGTGACATTGTATCTCTCTTCTGTTGTTTCGATAGTAGCTCTGTCGAGTTTACACAGTGCCCGCCTCGTCTATTTCCGGCTTACATTGTAGACGCTTTCCACCTCTACTATTTACGTGTCCTCTGTTGATACTATATTATAGCAGCTCTGTTTCTCTCTCCTCTCTTCCATGTCTAGTTAAACGGCATCCACATCTACTCTTTCCGCCATACATGTTTAACGCTGCCCACCTCTCCTATTGCTTACGCTTTTAGCACAGTCCATCTCAAGCACCTCCACCTCAATGCAACATGTGCCTCTCTGTGAAAGTTGACAACTAGGAGAGAGCACGAAATGGTTTGTTTTCACATCGAGATGCCCAAGTATTGTCGTTAAGACCAAGGCGAAAGAGATGGAAAGATTTCACGAAATCGGAAGGGAGGAAAGAAGAGAACACGAATGTCGTGGAACGCTCTCATGGAGAGGTACGGTCTACATCGATGCTATCTCCGTCTTAAAAAAAACACTGATGCATATACTGTACCTCTCCATGAGAGCGTTCCACAACATTCGTGTTCGGGTTAGGGTTAGGTCTAAATCGATGCTATCTCCGTCTGAACAAAAACACGGATGCATTACTGTACCTCTCCATGAGAGCGTTCCACGACATTCGTGTTCTCTTCTTTCCTGCCTTCCGGTTTCGTGAAATCTTTCCATCTCTACTGTCTCCTTCTTAACGACAACACTCATATACCACGCTGTGAACATGTACACAATTTTCGTACTATCTCCGTTGAAACAGAAACACCCACTAATTTTCTCTGCGATTATTCAACCCACAGCAATTTTCGTACTCTCTTACCGTCCCGGGGTGTGAACCGAGGGACCCTGTGCACGACAAGCGCCTCCACCCTAGCACCTCACGCCCACACCCGACGAAGGTAGGTGTGCTCGTTGCCCCACGACTCCAGGCACGTTATTTTCTTGCTCATCGGGGGTGAAACGAGAACGACCCTGAGGTGGTCGCATCGATAGATCTGCCGCAAACGCAAAGTGTACAGCAGCATGGTGCAGCAGCGGTTGGGTCGTTTGGCGACGAGGGGTTGAGGGTCGCATTGATGGATCTGCCGCAAACGCGAAGTTTACAGCAGCATGTGGCAGCTGCGGTTGGTTCATCTAGCGACGAGGGGTAAAAGGTGACATAGATGGATCTGCCACAAACGCAAAGTTTACAGCAGCATGTTGCAGCAGCGGTTGGTTCATCTAGCGACGAGGGGTAAATGGTGACATCGATAGATCTAGTGCAAACGCAAAGTTTGCAGTAGCATGATACAGCAGTGGTTGCTTTATTCAGCGCATCACATCGACAGATCTGCTGCAAACGCAACATGTACAGTGGCAGTAGCGGCAACGGTTGACTCATTTAGCGCCGAGGGGCCACATCGATAGCTCTAATGCAAATTATGTACAGGAGGAGTAGCAGCAGCGCTTGATTCACAGCGGAGATGATTACCGGTTGTATCGATATCGATAGATTGCCGCAGACGAAGTGAACGAACAGTCCGCGCCAGTTGGACCGGCACAGCTGTCAGAAGGTACCGTACCGAACAGACACCCGAGCGGTGATGAAAATGAAGACTAACAACAACAAACACAGCGTCACAACATTGGAACAGCAGCGGTTCATTTGCAGCGACGCACGGAAAATGGGCAGCGGCAGATGACACGACCGCCTCGGGAGCATGTATGTAGTAGGAGTACCAAGCTTCACAGCAAAGCTGACGACAGGTGCAGTTTAAATCGGCGGGCGATGATTGGGTAAGGCCTGCTCGGCAGCACGTGCTACGAGTCGCCTGAGGGCCAGGTAGGTTTTGAAAGCGGGATGGAAAGGGCGTCTATGGCACCACGGCCCGTTTATCCAGGACGTATGCTGGACAGATTCAAGTGTACAGCAGGTTCGTCAGAGGCCAAATGGGAAAAGTAGACGATCTACAAGGCACGAGGCAAGAGGGGGCTCACTCCCGATGCCCTCAGATCAACACTCTTGTCGAGCACCCAGGGACCACAATCGGTCAAGTGTGTGTGATAACTGATTCGATCTATCGTAGCTTCCCCGTGGCCTTGACAGGGTGTAGGGTGGTATCTATCTTATGCGACCTAAGGTAGGCGTCGATAGCGCAGGAGCCGCTGTTGAATCAAACGCTGCTTTCGTCTTTGATGGAGTAACGACCCACAAGGGCAACAGCGTCCATGGTGCAGCTGTTAGAATCAAGCAATAATATTTAACTACAACATCTACACACCCGTAGGGTATTGTACAACAATGTCACGACCCCTTGTTAGACACAGCAGTGTTCCTAACACCGAAGGCGCAACGGGAGCAACTGAGTTGAGTCCTTCACACACTGAGGGGTCGAGGATGTCTGAAGTACAGCCGCTCGGCGTGCTCGCAAGCACATGCCGCTACTGCTACTGCTGTCACGTGTGTACGGCCTGTGTCCGTAGTCTCAGGAGTCGCCATAGGAACGCGTCCTGTCAAGAAAGTGCCCCCAGCAGAGATATTTGAACCGTACGCTGCACTCTGCCTTGCTGCGAAATCGCGTAGCAACAGCAGCAGCAGCTGCTGTAGCGCGCGTTCAAACCGCCAAAAGCTGATCCAACACCAGACTACAAGCAGTCAGCAGTACTCCAGTCACCTGAAAAGCTCATCTATGGACACGGCCAGAAAGCATTCGTCTCCTCTCCGGTTCAGCACGAAGGGAAGTCCATCTGTCACCGCCCCTAGAGCCCTGAAAGGATAGAACAGTCGTGACGCTTTGGTCGTAGCCGCCGCTGGTTTGGACGCCATCCCCCCCTGCCTGCCCTGTGGCCCTCCTCGCTCCTCGCCTCGATGCAAGTGGCTGTGCGGTGGCTAGGGACATGCGGCGGAATAGCGAGAACCCCCGCAGAATGCTCCGGCATACCCACGAGCTCCGCCCGCTGCTCGAGGTGTAACTCACGATCGTCGTGCAGAGAGCACAGCAGGAAGTACTCTCACAACATGCGGCGGTGTGTCCAGATCTTGCAACAACCGCGTAGTGCAGCTATCTCCTTGTGGCCACACTTGCTCGGCATACGTCCGAGCGGAGCAGGGGCTTCGGCCTGCTCGGCCAGGCTGAAGGTTGCGGGGGTGATCGCCAAANACCCCCGCAGAATGCTCCGGCATACCCACGAGCTCCGCCCGCTGCTCGAGGTGTAACTCACGATCGTCGTGCAGAGAGCACAGCAGGAAGTACTCTCACAACATGCGGCGGTGTGTCCAGATCTTGCAACAACCGCGTAGTGCAGCTATCTCCTTGTGGCCACACTTGCTCGGCATACGTCCGAGCGGAGCAGGGGCTTCGGCCTGCTCGGCCAGGCTGAAGGTTGCGGGGGTGATCGCCAAAGGGGAGAGCGCTACGAAGCACAGCCAAGAGAGGGGAGCGGCCAGCGCCTCAAGCTAGCCAAGTGATGGGCGATGTGGCCGACATCCTCGGGCTTGGAGGTCCACCAGCGCCATCCGGGAGGGCGTCGCCCGTGTTAGGTGGCCCGTTGGGCCCCCTCCAAGAAAACAAGCGGGGTAAGGGTGGAGCTGCTCCGATCAAGAAGGCCGGCAAGCCTCAGGGTGTCAGCCGGGAGGTTCACGCCTTGCTAGGATCGGAGGGGCTGCCGCCGGAGGTATGTAGTGTAGTGTGTGCTGGACCCTTGCGGGGTCCTGGATAGGTTAAGCGAACTGCTGTTGCTCATGATATTGTCTTTGCATTTGGTGCGGGTCTGCTTGAAACCCGAACCGTATGTTTGAACCCCACGGGGTTCAATCACGCCGCATTTTTTAGATCCACTCTCCTGCATAGCGTATCGATATATTTCCATGTATTGATGCCCGTGATGTTGTCATGTGGACGGTTTTTGAGTCCAC